TTGCAAGAACACTATATGAAACGTAGCAGCTAATTGTTTTTTAAAGGTGAATTTTCAAAAAAAAAAGAAAAAATTCAAAACCTAACAGAAAAAAGGCAATAACAACACAAACGTAAACGAATTGCAGGCACGAGGCATAATAACACAATACAAAAAAAAGAACAAAAACAAAATCTATATACACGCGTGTTTAAATATTTACGTACAAACCAATGTATAACTCTTGTTTGCATGTGTGTTTGCATAAGTGCATGTGCTAATGATGACAACAACAGAACTTAATATACCAATAACCGTCATATAACACGGTTTCCCAAAAACCAAACACCTTTATAGAAAATGACAGCTCTGCACCACAGCAGCGCTGCTAACCTATTAGGATAATTAATAGGAATTAGTTCACACCATTTCCGATATATCTTTCCTGTGATTTCCTTAATGCGAAATAACTTTTCTTCTCTTACCGATTTATTTATTTATTTGTAAGAACTCCTAGTGTTTAAACTATAAGGAAGCTATGAAAATCAAAGTCTTTAGGCTTAACTAACCACCACGGTATGGTTGCAATATTTTAGAGATAATATTGAAGCAATGTAAAATTTGTACACTTCGGAACTGGTGCAAGCTTTTGTAAGTCAGTGTAATTGCGGAGGGTTTACTAAGTTCAAACGAAGATTCTTCTAAATGTTAAATCATGTTAAACAGAAATCGGGAAATCGGGTGCATTACACAGTTGATACGTATTTGCCAAAATTTGATTGATCAGCGTGGTTCAATCGAATGTTTTTTATTTGAAATCGATTGTTTTGACCTTTCTCTTTATAAAATAACAGTTTTCCATTTACTATTATAGATTTATTCAGCGCATACCGACGCTAGTCATACACCGCTAAAAATTGTTCAGAGGTTTATTGTCATGCCGCTCTATCATCATATCCCAACTGTCGGTTTTGGGTTCAACGGTTTAAAAATGTCGACACGAATTGACTAAAAATGCGTTTGTTGCAAGACTTGTCCAGGATATATTGTTGCAGTTCGAAAGGGAAGTTCTGCCACATCCACCGTACGCATCAGACATAGCGCCTCCCGGTTAGGACATGTTCATATTGGTGGGGCATAGATTGGCTGGCACGCGAATCCGCAAAATTGAAGAAGTACGAAAATGGGTGGGTGGATGGATAGCTGCCAAACCTATATAAGTTCTTTCCACATGGTGTCGCCATGTTGCCAAAAATATTGCAAACTATTGTAGAAAATGATGGGAAGTATCTTGATTAAAATATATTGTACCAATTTTTCACAAAGAATGCCTTTTTCAAGTGAAAAAGTGATCAAAATTCTTTGAAAGCGTAGATCCCGCCATGATTGTCTTTTATACTAAGTAGACCACCCTATATTACTTGTAGTAAGAAAAAGTTGAGAAGTTCTGTACGCATGAAGGCATGCAACACCCAAAAGGGTTTGAGATATAACGCATCTTTTAATATATCAAGCGATGCATTTCGACGCATTCTAAAAAACTCTTCGATATCAATATGTTTTGGCACACTATTAAGAATGAATTCGATCAGGCTATTTACTTGATCCCTCCTCATATAACGCTGCCTTTTTTTAGAAAGTAGTGGTTGATAGTAGCGCTTCTTAACTACGCCGAACTTTTTTTTTAAAAATCGTGTAAGATGAAAAAACTTTATATGCTTTTTAAAAAAACCCATATAAAAAACTAATAACAACACATTTAAAAAACACAAATCATTCATTTATATTACAAACAGCAAACTAAAATTAATGTGCAGTGCAAATTCAGCCCCTAAGTGCATATAACATATAAATATCGAAATTGGAATTATTTACTACGAACTGGGTGGGAAAAATGCTATCATCAGTAGATATGTCAGATATGCTTACTGACAACTGTCGGATTTGATTCAAATGAAGAATTTCCGGCATTATTAACGGGTTCTGCTAATTTTTGATTGTTATAAAGTCTACTGGCAGTATTTTTTTTTTTTTTTTTGGATTCTCAAGTTGCTTATATAATTCCCGATATTTAAGTTTCGATAAGAGATGGTCAAAATTAAAAAAAAATGTTTTTTTTTAATTCGTGCTAGAAAAAAGAATTCGTGTGAAAAAAGTATATTTGCTCTCATTGGTGAACCGTGTTATTTTAAAGTTGTGCAAAAGAGATCGTGTAAAAAAGATTTGGGTTTACTTGAATAAATCGTGATTGGTTACGTTAGAAGATGACGAAAATGTAGGCAGTATGAGAGCTTATTTTGTATAATAACCAGTTTTAATTTTTTGCACTTTACGACGAAAACTGATAAAGGCAGAGTATTTAATAGTCGAAGTTGATATCATTCTTTTTACAAAATAAAGGGTTTATTTGGCAAAAACTTGGTATATCTTGACTAAAATTTGAAGCTAAAAATTGAAGAAAATAAATAACTTCCCAACTATAACTACATTGCTTATATATTAAAAGCGAAAACCTTTTCTTGCCAATATAGAACCGATATATCATTAAACAAATTACTTACTTTCCTTATTTTATTGCTTTCAAAAATTCAAAAACTTACAAAAGGTTTCACGCATAAAAACACCCTACTATTTGATTTTGTAGTCTCCAACTTAATTGAAGAAAAAAAATTATACTTATTCGCCGACATATGATATCTTAACATAGCAAAAAATTATGGCTTATAATACTTAAAAAATATATATTTTTCTTAAGTTTTTTTTAGATTGCATTTATGCTGGCTTAAAAGGGAGTTGTTCACGTGCTTGCGCGGAACTTTAAATCGCCCCTTGATCAAATTTTTTTTTTTGTGCGATCAGTCACTTAAGGTACAGCCCATGTACATGTGTTGGGGTAATGATCGGGGAAGTGAAGGGAAGAGATAGACAGATAGTGGCGGCGGTCTAGGAGGCTCGATCGGCAAGTGTAATTCGTTCATCGACTCAGTAAAGCTACGATCGCTCATCTCTAACAGGTAAAGTACGGTCTACCGTACTGAGAATTGAATCCGGATATGCTGGCTTGATAGTAACTTATGCCCTATGTTGATTGAATGATCTACAAATTAACGAACTTAACTGTTTTCGGATACAATTTACTTTTTCTTCTTATTGTCAAGTGAAATTATCTCTTAGGAGCATTTCATTTAAAGTTTTTCGAAACCCACTATATCTCTGCTATGCCACATTTCCTTCTTGCTCTTTTTAGAAATGTTACCTCTGTGTTATACGGGGGTGATCAGTGCCAGTAATACACAATATTGACGATACCGATCACAATGATGTGTGTACATGTACGTACGGACGTATGTGTGATTACGACCCTAAAATGTAGTAATAAAAAAATAGCAAAAACAAAAGTAATTGTAGCGAAATAAAAAGAAGGAGAAGGAGAAAAAGAAAAACCGAGATAGAAAAAAAAATGAAAGGCACGAACGAAAACAACACTGTGATGACCATGTAATATATTGCTTCTTAAATCGTAAATTCAGAAGTAAAACTAATTATGGAAAATCAAAATCGATCAGTAATTTGCCAAAGGTCAGCATTATTTGTTACATGTAAATACTATGGCGTGAAATTTTTTCTTAGCGTTATTATGAGTAAAAATACTCCATATGTTGTTATCAAGATCTTCATTTTTATTATAGATATGGTAATAGTTTTGTTATTTTGTAACCTTTCTCACATCCATTAAAATGCTTTTCGCTTGTAAACAACTTCACACATAAACGTGTAAAAATTTTCACTACAAAAATCATCTCAAGATGAGATAATAAAGCTATTCTCAGAACAGCATTTAGTAAATAGCAAAAAAAAAAAAAAAAAAAAAAGTAATAATAATAATAATAATAAAGAAAAGAACCAGGTACAGGCGTCCCTCGCTTAGTGGGTTACATGTAAAGCACAGTTTCGATACAACCCGATACGAAAATTGCGTTTTCTGCAATCCAAATATGTATTTTTTTCTACTAATTTTTACTTTTGTTTTAATTTTATCCTTTGTAAGAAGAGTTTCCACCAACTTTAAGAGAAAAATATGACTTTTTGATCGCTATCATTACTTTTTGTATTTCATTTGTTTTTTTTTTTTGATAAAAACGCTTTGGACATTCGGAACGAAATTTCATAATAAAATTTTGATCAAAAAGCTTTACACCATAACACTTGATTTGCATGCAACAACACGGTATACATTGCCTCTATTTACATTATTTTAAACTAACACGATTCAGGTTATAACTAAGTTTAAATTACATTATCCTATATAATATCTTGATTTAAATAAATATATAAAAATGTCTCGTATCAACACGGTACGAGTTGACCGTATTAAGCGAGGGAAGCCTGTACGCCCTTATGCCAAAACTGAGACATCCACTATCTCGAACGAATGTTGTAAATATTGATAAGTATTAAATTAACTGAGAGCGAACATGTCATGCCGCCCGATCAGAACTACTTTTGCGCTGAACTTTACATGATAATCTTAGTTAATATTTTTTACCTAATTTCATATCGATATCTGCTATGAGTTATAAGTTACCGTATTTGTCGTAATATTGCAAACGTGTTTTTCGAACAAAATTTAATCTCTGCGCATTAAGAGACAAGTTTCAGTCTTTATCTCAATTTATGCGACTGTGAGAATATTCACAACGCTCGTTAGGAAGGTATGGCTAAGCCGACTTATATGACTCTATATATTAGATGACGGCAAATGCCCCTAAATCTGCCACTGCAAAATCGCCTGCTGCGGCTCCTTCTCAACCTACCACTGCTCCTCCTCCACCTAGGCCTTCTGCCAATGCTCTTCCACTATCACCTCCCAAACCGGTTACACCAGATATAGCTTAATAAATTCAGAATTTATACACTTAATAGGGTCTGAAGCTTCCTTTTGGGTGTTACATACATTATGAAAGAAAACAAAATGAGTATACCCCCATCAGTAGTGGGTTTATTTTTATTGACAGTTAAGAGAGTTTGGAAAAATATCTTAAAAAGTAAGAAATAGAATATTTTTCAAACTTATAAAACAGCCGAAGTATGCTTGCAAACAAAACCAGGCCAATAGAAAACGTGAATAATAATAATATTAATAATAATAATGTAATTGTTAATAAAATATAAAAAATTATAAAAAGCGTATAAATAGAAGTCTTCACTTAATTCGCATTTCGCATGTGGAGAATAACATAGAATGAATGTAAGCGATAGCATTTCAATGTGCCGAAAATAAGAAAAGAAAAAATAGAGCCTGCTGTTTGTTGAAAGAACTCCCAATATGTTTAGAAAAACATCTTTTCCAACACTTTATTTAGTTTCTCCTGAGCGTAGCGGATTTTCTGATACAAATCCTTAGAGCAGCCGTGTTGTGTAATGGTTGAGAACCGATATGTACGAAAATTTTTTTCTTGATCCATGTAAGTGACAGCATTCATACGTGGACATAAAATAATTTTCATATGATCTGAAAAGTTTAACTGTACTGTGCCATTAGTTAAATGCATGACTACCGCACATGTGGTACGAAACCATGAGTGTAAATGTGGCATGCGCGAAATTTGATCACTTTCAAGATTAACATTATTTGCTCCAGCCTTCATTAAATGTTCTGTCATGTAACGTTTAAAGTAAGACAATAATTTCATTTTCTTTTCCAAAGATTTGCAATAGTCTGTGTTGGTCGTATAAGTTTCTTTGCCATCCTTATCGATAAAGTGGACATTAATATCATTCGGCAATAGAATTAGCTTGGTTGTATCGTTGAACATAACACCTATGCCCTCGTCGCATAATTGATAGCCAAAACCGTATTTGTCGCTGTAATCCACCCACTTTGATATCCAAAACAATGGCTGAGCAGCAGGGTCCGTATTCTCATCACCTAAATTTTCGGCTAAAATGCGAGGTTTGGCTTCAATAAGCTTGGTTAATTGTTGATACAAGCTTTCTATGTCACTGCGATAATCCTGATTATGCTGATAAACATGCGCCGATGCAGTGATGGCATCGTGCAAGTTGTTTTTAAGAAAAGTCGACTCCAAACGTGTATCATCGTATCGTACACCGTTCACTTCAATTAGAGGCTTTCTTTGATTAGCCACTTCATGTTCTAAAGTGGCCTTAATTTCGAGACGTGGCGCCATAGTCAGACATGAAGTAGGCAAAAACATTGGAACCGGCGAAATAGTTAAAAATTCTGAATGTAGCAACTGGTCAATTGTAGGCCGATGGCTGGGATTTGATTGCAGCATTGACACTACCATGTCGGCAGCTGATTTACATAGATAACTGGGTAATCGGTAATCACATTTTTTAATTTTCGAGTAGGTATCTCTAAGCGTTTTAGTTTCAAACGGAGGTTGACCCACTAATAGGGTGTACATAACGCAACCGATAGACCAGATATCCACTTCATACGAGTGTCCTTTTTTAGTTAGAATTTCCGGTGCTATATAATTTGGGGTACCGCATAAAGTTTTCTTCCGTTCGCCCTCATACTCAATACGTGTGGCCAAACCAAAATCACCAATCTTCACGTGGAGCATGTCGTTTAGGAACAGATTACCTAATTTCAAATCGCGATGTATTATGCGGTTATCGTGCAAGTATTTAACACCCTGAATGATTTGATATATATAATAACGACATTCATATTCAGTTATGGTTTTCCGACGTTTATGTAATTCCATCATAGATCTTTTTTTGCACAGTTCCAAAACGATGTAAATGTTGTAATTGTCTTCGAAAAAACCATGAAATTTAACAATGTTAGGATGACTTATAGAACTGTGTATGGTAATTTCCTGGGTCATTTTCTCTTTTTGATTATGTTTCATTAAGAGCTTCTTTGAAACAATTTTACCAGCATACACTTCATTTGTCGCCATATCTACAATTTCATAACATTTTGCAAATCCACCCTTGCCGAAAAATCTCATGCGTTTATATGTTTTGCCGGCCGAAGAATCATATAATCTTTCTGGTATTTCTGTCCCTTTATCATCAGTTTTCGAAGACATGTTTAAGTGCTTTAAATTTTCTCTTCTAACAAGAAATTAGAAAAAATGAAAAATTTCACTTAATGTCTATTCGATCGACAATTTCTTTTGTTGTATAAAACGTAAAAAAACTGCCTGCTTAGTTCCTTTTAGACTTTTCAATGGGAACTTCGGTCATATAAATAGAACATTTAACTCAAATAGTTCAGAATTAATTTAATTCCACAAAACTATGTATGCGACTTTTTTCTTTCCATTTTAAACAAGCTGCGCTGGGGTAGATAGGTAATAGGAATTGTACGTATCAGACTCGCTCATTTAAATACTCTCTTAAGTCGCCAAATTTATATGACGGAATTGTGCGAGCAGACTCGCTCATTTAAATATCTTCCAAAGACGCCTTTCGTCTAATTCTCGTGGAACATCCTACATATGACGAAGTTTATTCAAAGATGATCGTACATGCATCATCTGAACTATGTGATGAGTGTCACGCAAAAGAATCGCTGACCATCTTATTTTTATGTAGAGTAAATTCCACAACAATAGATATTCATTTCTGTAATAACTTATATGAAATCTTTCGTGCTTGCAACAAAACTTATCTTAAGCAGTTAACTGCCTTTTTTAAAATTGGTGGATATGTTATATCCATTTCTGTTAAGTATTATAAAAAGTTTATATCTGTTTTTACACATTACAGATACTTCGAAGATGTGTACAATGGGTAAGAAAATTACATTTGCTGTGAGTATTTCACTTTGAAAGTGTCTATGCAAAAAAACGCAAGAATGGTTCCTTTTCTTATTTTATTCAAAGGAAAGAATCTGACCACCTGCAAAAGATCACAATTTGAATCAGACTAACAATCAATATTGAGATGAAACCCCAAGACCCATAGTCACGCTGCTTAAAGGGAAGTGCAAGCAGCAATGATGCGATTTTTTCATATAACGACTTTCAATCGCAAAACTTGCCCAGAAAAAAATATTAGCAACGTCAGTCGCCGCTGTATTCAGTAGATCTTCCTTATTCCAATAGAGGACTTGTTGTTGCAGCGCTTTGACTTTAATTATTACGCACCATGTGGTTTCTTTCGTGGACTGCCCAAACGGTCGTGTGAGTTTTCGGCTTGACATTGATAATTTGTGGGAAATGTTGTGAATGTATTGAACATGACATTTTTACTGTTCCCTTAAAATAAAAACCTTTAAGAAATTATTCTCACATTTAATAAACCAATTTTCAGAATAATACCTTCTGCATTCTCTAAATTAATTATCGAGATCCCGTAAAAACCACCGGTCTCTTCGACAATAGCGTCAAAACATCCGCATCTATTGTCATACTTTGGCTCATCGCTAATAAACTCGCGTATAGCTACAATATCCCCCACATTCGCTGCATGTAACTCTCTGACCCTCTCTGATTTGTCTTCATTATGAAATATTCGTTACCAATTTTCGATAGGGTGAACACAAACATTATTACTAAGGTCGATTTTCATCGACCGATCGAGCGCCAAATGTTTAATTATTCTTATAGGAGGCTTGCTATTTATCTTCTTTCCTTACTACTAACCACCCCCACTCTCCTCTAGACCAATCACATATTCACATATCTTTCTTTTTCATATTCCAATGCATAGGATTACAGGCAATTAACGCCCTGCTAGTCAACGTGTTATTATTTTAATTATATCGAAGCATAAGAGGGAATTGTGTTTCAATCGAATGTAAATACCCGACTATATCATGTACTAATGTATACTAAGTATATCGCACATTTCATCTTGTATTGAAAAATGAATCTCATTAGGTAGGCAACTGCGTCTACTAAGGCATGAGATAAGAAAGTAATCATATGCAAAATATGTTATATTACATCACTTCATATACATTTCGGCTTGACCTATAAAAGGAACCGCTGAGAATAATTACCTCTTGTTGCTAAATTAGTAAAACTGTTTAGAGAGGTGTTGAGGGCGAAAATGTTTCCTATTTTTGTCAAATATCTAAATATTGCCAAATCGTAGAACAGCTAAAGCGTTTAAAAAGAAAAAAAGTTGTATTTTGCTCATGCATTGTTAACTACGGTTGAGACTTAGGTTTACCATTTCAAAGCACAGACATTTCTAATACAAAACAGTTAAAGTGACCAAAATCGTCTAAAAATTTATAGCATCAGTTTCCTAGAATGTTAATTGATTATCTGTAAATCAATTAGATAATAAAAACAAAAGGTAATTGTAGCCTTTTAGCTCACGATGGGTAGATGGAGCAATTTATGGGAAAGAACCAGTTTGGAAAAGAAAAGAGTCATCTTTCATTAGGACAATGTGCCGGCTTCTAACCTTTCGTTGTAAATACAAAGGGGAACCTTTTTCATTAGATAGAGGCCTTTCCGTCTTCTGGCCGTCCCAGACCCTCGATTACTCTAAATTGGGAAGCGTTTTCTACCAACCAATCAGTCGTAAAAGGGTATTTTGAATATATCTCCGCAAATCTTCAGAAACTAAGTCCCCACTAGAAAAACTTTATTCAACTTTCAGGAAGCTCCCTTACCTATTAAAAGGGATTTAAATTGTTGTCCCTGCTGTGGGCTGGAGGCATGTGATTCACCTAGTGAATTTGAGAATTCTTTCTACAATTTTATATTTAAAATCTGGAATCCTAATGAGACCTCAAACATTTTTCGCTTGAATTATTTTACCAAAAAAATATTTCGTAGTCTATTTCTGTGCAATTAAGACTGTATCGAAGCACATTTGGTTTTTAAATACGAGTGCATTGCAACATTAGTTTTAATTCCCGCCCGGAATAAGTTTTTTTTTTACAAAAAATGTAACAAAACTTTTATGACTTCTCCATTTTTTATGAATAAAAGCTTTCATGAAACCAATACAAGGCGTCATATAGGAACTCATCGAAAAAGTGGTGCAGTCGTTTTTTACCAAAATATCTTAAAAATTGGTTGAACGCAACAAAACAAGACGGACAGACAACCTTAGATCAATGCTGTCTGTCCGTCCGTCTGGATCGATCAGCATGAAAAAGATGGGTCTGTTTTAACCTTTACGTGCATATTGTTGCGAACTGTCTACATTCCAGTTTCACTTCACAAAAAAATTTTAATAAAAAAAATTCAAAATAAAATAAAATTGGCAGCAATATACATTTAAAAGCTAAAAATGACACTATGGATCGCAATTACATAGCTATACATTTAAGGAATAAGTCCTTCTGGGTGTTGCATACATCCATGTAAACTTAATATACCTTTGTAGAAGTGGTACAGAGTATAAAAAAATGAATGAGAAAAGTTGTATTCATCGGCTTCTCCGTTCAGTAACAATTCGCCAAGTGACGAATAATTCCGTACTACGTAAAAACTTCTTGTGGACTTAAATGACAATTTATTAAACATAACTTTTGAACCCTTTCAAAAAATTTAAATAAATGAAAGAATAAAAAGCCAATAATATCAGTTCATAGGACGCAAAGAAGGGGAAAGAGAAAGGCTTCTCGAGCTAGAAAGCAAGGAACGTCTGAAGAACACCTGCAACATATAAGGATATCAATAAACAGTTTTGATTAATTATTTTTTATCTATTTTAGCTTTGGAGATGGAAGTATAAGTTATGTTTATAATTTATAATCTTGTCGTCTGTGAAGAGGTATAAATGAAATAGGAGGAATTATTAAAATGTAACGTTCGATAAACTTTAAATGTTATGTATCTTTAGCTTTGATCCGTAGGCTAAATAAGATATCAAAAACATTAAACTAAAATCACAACTAGACAAATATTAAGAGCAGATCAGATGCACCAATGAAACGGCAGGTTTTTATTTTCCAAAAAAAAAAAATTGATAATAATAATAAATAAATAAAAAAAAAACAAATTTTCCAACAAATATTGGGCACGAGCAACAAAGTAAAAATTAATTTTAGAAACTACAAAAGCAAAAGAAAAAATTTAAAAACAACAACAAGAATAGCGATAAAAAAAATAAATAGCAGCAAAGATATATAAATAAAAGATTGAAAAGAAAGAATTTCCTTCGTCTAGACAAAAGACGACAAGAGTGTTACGTTGTTGTCTGTGCTTTTGTGTAACCATCAGTGCAGGAGATTAGATAAATTAAGTTTAATATTAAGCACGTAACTCTTTCTCTTTAAATCATAAATATGTGAAATAGTTTTATTTTTATGCTAAGCAATATTTTTTTACTTGATCTAAGCACTTGAACAGTGACTCATTATTGTAAAAGCCCGTCATTCTCGCAAATATAAGCCTTAATTGTAAATAAATGAGGTTAAAATTATTTATACTGATATAATAAATAAGGTTAAAATTATTTATACCGCATAAAAGATCAACATCGTTCTTATAAAAACAGATAATGGAACTATGTCTGCATATCAGGCTGATTGAATTAAAACTAGCCTTACATATAATCATCATATATCACGGATTTACACATTGTGAGAAAGAAGAACCGACAATCTTGATTGCTAACGCTCAATTTATTTTTTGGACTACGTAGATGCAAAGATAAAGCCGAAATCCTCCATTATATTCAAGCAAGCAACTTTACTAGGAAAATATATTTTAAATAAGCGCCAACTAAGGCTGTTTCAGACCTTCAGATGGCCCTCATTCAAAGGCACCTAATTAAAAGAACAATATATTGTAAAGCATGTCAACTTCGCTCTTAATGTAACCGAATGACGGCAAATCTTCAAAGTCAAGGCAACCAAGACTTTCTTATCCCGGAACTAACAAAAACAGACTTAAGGGCATTATAAAATCCACTCTGGTGCTAATGTGTGACCGATTAACGAATAACGATGTCTGTTGTTTATCCGAACATTTTACAAGCTTTTGGCGAAGAACTCATTATAGCGTAGCAGGCATCCAAGTTCCGACTTAAACTACTTATAGTTTTTAAACTGCTGTTTATTTTTGATTTTTGTTTTTTTGTTGTTCATTAACCGTGTGTTTGAAATATGTACGTATGTATACGTGTAGGTTTGTTTATTTTTATGTATGTTTGAAACGTTTGAAGTTGGTTAAACGTTTGCGGTTGCTGCGAATTCAACACCATGTATATTTGGCACACGATCATTCATGTGTTCGTTAATGTGTGTGCGCAGCTTTGATGAGCAACAGGGTATAAGATCATAAAAAAACAACAATATAAAGACGAGAAAACGTTGAAACTAACCATAAAACAATTTGAAAAGAAAATATTAATGATAATATCCACCTTAGCCAGAAAGTACTGAAAGTACGTGGACATGCTTTATTTTGGCCGAGAGCACACACAAGTAAAAGCAGAACGAAACTACAAAAATTACATTTGTTTTTAGCAATATATTCCAGCCTCTTCAACACCTAATTCGAATAAAAGAATATGACAACTTCGATGGACTCATTCAAATGTTTTATTTTCTTAGTCACCTTACCTTGATTGACGTTGAAATAATTGTTAATTGTTGTTATTGTCGTCGCAAAAAAAATGTAATTGGACCATATTCCCACTTGAGGAGTATATCATTGTCATCATTGTTCACTTTTCGATTTTTTTTTTTTTGCTCATTAACAACACAAATTTCGGGATATTAATGAATGAAAAACATTTTCTTTTTTTTATGGAAACTTACCTACAGCTTGCTGCTTTCAAAAGAGGCGAAAACAAAAAAAAAATAAATAAATATATATATATATATGTTTATAAGACAGCACTAGAAAACTCTATTTTTATTTCAATTAGTATCAGTGCTCACTGGTATTTCCTTTGCAAATATGAGATTTTTTTACAGTTGATTCGTTTGTTAATCCAGAAAGCAGTTATTACAACTTTTACTTGAAGCAAATTTTTCCTACTTTTGTTTGCCTTCCTGGTTTTATGTGTGTTTGTTTCTTTATTTTTATTTTTTTTATTTTTCCTTTTCTTGATTTTTTTTTTTTTTTAGCACTAGGGTCACACCTGTATGACGTTTTTTCCTAGAATTCTACCAGGAATATTAATAAATACGCGTGTCCGTGTGCGTCGCTTTTTTTATTGCTACTTTTTTACACTTTCATATAATAAACAAAAGCCGAAAATTTTGAACAATTCCTTAGATACAAATATATTTCCTTAATTCTTTTTTATATTTTGCGTGCAGATCTTTGCTTATTCTTGCTTATTTCATTTTTTTTCTACTTCGTAATTTTGCACACATATCACACATTCACTTACATAGTTGTAAGACGATGTTTTTTCTAACATTTTCTCTTGTTGTTTTTTGAAATGAAATTTTTTACTTTATTTTCAATTCGTATAAATTTACTGGAATTATTATTATTCACTATTATTCACTATTATTTCCTATTTGCGTAGCAATGGCATTTTAATCAAAACTTATTTACTCTTTTGTAATAATTTATACAAATTCTCCGAATATTGACGAAATTCTGTGTGAACGAAAATGCTAGCTGACAGCGTTA